TATATATATATATTTGAATTTATCATGTTTTTAATAGGAAATGGACATGATAATCATTTGGAGAAGATTGAGAAAAATATATGCAACACTGCGGTGCCAGACAGCGAACACCTAAGGCCCTAATTTCAATGCATTTCCTTAAGAGTTTCACATCATATTGTTGATTTTAAGCATTACAACATCATATTAGTAGTGCCACAATAGTAGAGGAGGCAATTTTGGAGGAGAACCCCAAGTGCATGATGTTACAGTGCCATTATCCAGTGTTAAAGCACTTTCATTCTACCACTGCAACTGCCGGTATTTTTTTTCCTTGTAGGCTTCTACCACAGATCATGAAAATTTTCTATCTAAAAAATTGAGTACGTCCTTTGAATAATAATATATCAGTTCGAGGGGCAGAAATATTATCTTGAGATGGATTTAATCCTTTAAATGATGAAATTTTTTAAGATTTATAGGCCTACATCAACTAAAAAATTTTCTTTTAGCTTATGGGTATAAGATAGGGTTTATATTAATTTTAGGGTCTAGTATGCTTGCAAGAAAAAGCCCACATAGTTAATTATATCTAGGATTTGTAAACCCCTGAAAAATCTTTTGATTAAAGTATTAGTTTTTATTATTGAGGATTTCATAATTAAATGTTTCAAAGATTGGTATTTTAAGATTCAAACGGTTAGGGCTTGAAGTATAATGATGATATGTCATTGAATGTCCCAAAAAAGGGATTAACAAACTCTAAGAAGAAGATGTTTCCTGGGGATCTGAACTGAGAAATCATTGAAGAATTCAGGGTTTGAAAAGGATGAAGTGAAAAGGAAATTTGGAATGGATTGGATTTGTTCGATTTGGGCAGAATAAGTTAGATTTGAAAAGTTTGACTTAAAAGGTTTTATTTAAAAGGATTGGGTTGAGAAGTTTAACTTAAAAGGTTTAATTTAAAATGATTTTGTTGAAAAGTTGGATTTAAAATGTTTAATTTGAAAGGTTTGAGTTAAAAATTTTGATTTTAATATTTCATTTGGAAGTTTAACTTAATGGGACAAGATTAGTTGAAAATATTTCAAGATATGAGCTAAAAGCCTAATCTTAAGATAAATCTAAACTCTATAAAAAGACTGAATAAGTGAAATAAACTAAATTTGAGTATGAAATCCTCAATCGAGATACACAAGGTTTTTCATAGGCATGGGTTCATTGGTAGCCTTAGACTATTAACCAACCAGATAGTCAAAGATCTCCACTATTTCTATAGCAACGACGAGTATAGTCTTAATTAACTATTTGGTTATTAGATGTTCCTTTATCAATAAGTACGAGTAATTAATATTAATCACCATGACAGAAAAATTTTATGGCTTATCCCCCATGTGATTAGGGATGTTATCTGATTTTTCTAAGGTCAGATAGCACATCTAGCTCTAAAAACCTTAATTTTTTCATTATTATTACCTCTTTTCATTTAAAATGACTATAAAAAATAAAATAAAGGTAAAAAAATATAAAATAAAGTTTAGTAAGTCACTGAAGTCAGAGGAATTAATTCAAAATGAGAGTTGATTTTAAAATTAAAAAACTTATTTTTTATTTAATTTCTTATTAGATCATTTAAAAAATTACAAAAATTAAAATAAAATCCAAAAAATTATGAAATCGTTCTTGATTGGTCCTCTAACTTTAAGTAACATCATAAAATTTTTCTAAGGACAGATGACATACTTTGGGTAATTAAATGAATTACTATTGAAAGTTCATAATTATGAGTTTAAATAATTACAAAAAATATATAAATATCATAAAAATATAATTTTTCCATTGATGTTTTAATTAGCCCATGAGTGAGAGGTCAGTGAAGTTTCATGAACATTTAAAATAAAATATGAGAGTTATGGGGTGTAAACCCTAAGGGTAAAATGGTAATTTTGAGAATTTTACACCCTAACCCTAATTTGACTAACTTTTAGGTTAAACTAAAGGGACAAATTATCAAACCAGGATGATCAGATCACTGAGGTGATTGAAACATAAAGGGTAAATGAGGTAGCAACCCACTCAAGCCATTTTCTGAAAAAGGGTAAAATCGTAAACATTTGACTTTTTTAGAGAACTGAGAATATGGGTGATCGAAGAGTGAGGGTATGAGTTTAAAGGACAATATGTCACTGATTTGAATCCCCAACCAATGGCCGAACAAAATCCAATCCTTTTAGTAAAGATTAAGCACATTTTACTAAACTTTTCAAAAATTACAACTTTACCCTTAGGCCTTAAGAGCTTAGTAATGAATTAGGTTTAATTTAATATCATTCGAGGCATAGTTAATGAAGGAAATATAAGTGATAATGAAATATCTTAAAACACTACATGCTCAAACATAATTAAGAAGAAAGAGTGTAAAATTCTGTGATGGCTATAAGCATACCTTTAAGGGTGCTTACTTGCACAACTCTCAATACGACATTAAGGATTGCCC